TCAGTCCCCTGGCAACTATTTTTATTTATAATTTATTTACAAAATTGGATCCATAAGTCTTCATATTATTTTAATTAATGTAAACATTCATTGAGAACTTGAAAAGTTGAATGCATTGAAATAGTTTGCTTGATTTTTCTCAATTTGATAAAAAAAATCAGTCCCCTGGCAGTCAGTCCCCTGTCATGTTATATGGCAAAAGATACACAAATATCGAAAAAGCAAAAATTAATTCGGTTGTTTATTTATTATAATTAAGCTGATAGTTTTGTAGCCCTTGTTAATTTTTTTTCTAATAAAATCAAAAATAATTTGGTCGGACAATTTTGTACAGATTTAAGACGTCCTTACAGAGAATCACCCATATATTTGTTATTTAAAATAAGAATTCGTTCAAAGAAAAAATTTGATTCAAGAAAAATATTCTCTTCCAAATTTCATTCCTGTTTTGAGATATTAAGTTTTCTTAATTCAAGAAATTCACTCTTTTCATAAATTTGCACACAAATTTATCCTAAATAATTTTTTTTGCTTATAACAGCCGATCCCTACGATTGCAGCTTTATATTTCTCTCCTAGACAAAGAAGAATTTTGAAAAAAACGCTCTGCTACGTAATAGATTTTTTAATTATCTATTTCGTAGCAGAGCGTTTTTTTTCGAAATTCTCACTTGCTTAAAAGAAAAATATAAAACTACAATAGCTCTATAATCATAAGTGCAACAAGGATAGTACCGTTTCTTGCAGTGAGTGCGACGCGAGAAAAAGAGTAATTTCAGTGGGCTAATTATGCATATAACAAACTTTTATAATTTAATATTGCTGAAATTTCAACCAATATTTTTGGTCACAATTGGGATGATGAATAGATAATTCTATTCCATAGATTTTTATCACTATTATTGGCCGAGGGATTTTGTAATATTTTATTAACATTTTAAAAATTTACGGAAAAACCGTTTTCGAAAAGCTCGAAAATACGTAAATGATTATGTATGCGAAGTGAAATAAACCTTTGCAATGAAAAAAATCCAAATCGAGCTTAAATTTAATATTGCTAAAATTATAGAAACTGAATGAAAATGAGAGTAATATATTTCTGCATTATATTCATCAACATTTTTTAGTTTTTTTTTCTGTTATTTAGTGAATTATTCAACTGATATTATTTGTTTGTAATAATAATGTGATGAATTAATGATTAATGATTAATAGCGACAAGCAGCTTAACTCTGTGATTAAGCAATAAATCATAATATAAATAAATAAATTATCATTCGTCGATATTATATCTATTGAAAAAATTGTTCAGCGGATGATACATATTTTTAAATTTGTATATATAGATATTATTATTTTTAAACTATTAATATACTGTATTAATTTGCTGAGTATTAAATTTTATTTGCTCATTCTATTAATACCACAGATTATACATTGTTATCTTAAATGTTATTACTTCGCATGTGATTTATAATTAGAAATTTTCAAACTAATTTATTTTATCAAAATAATCGATTTTTATTTAGAATAACTATATCATTTTTATTAGTTTTATCACCCTGAATTTAATAGATGCATTAAATTTGTTCAATGTTGATTTTTCTATAAGCGTTTACGTTAATGTAAAAAATGTTAGGATATCCGACTCAAGACCACGTTTAGTCTGTATGTTTCGATAATAAATTAGTATTATCATCAATGCTCGTATCTCCAGAACTTTAACCCTGGCGTCACTTTTAAGTTTAAAGTATTATTAGGGGTAACGTCGACACAGACAGACCAGTTTGTAATTTCTTTTAAAGTGCAGCATTTTTTGTTTTATATTTATTGTTTAATTATTACTTATAGCCAATTTATTTTATGTAAATCAATTCTTAGACTGATTTCATTTCATAGCTCCTCTTATATTGTTTACTGAAAAAAAATTTCTTGTATATCGTGAAATTTAATTGTTTTAAAATGGTAGGTAATTTTACTAAGAGACAGTGGCTTACTCTTATTGTTATCAGTATTGCAGACTTTGCAAATGCTATTTGTGTATCATTACAAGCACCGTTTTATCCCCGAGAGGTGAGTGAATAATGTTTCTCAAAATTTTTTTCATAATTATTTTTACTGAATTAGTTTTATACAATTTTGTGTGTGAGAAAAATAAAACTGATCATCCACAAATTTTCATGCATCAGAGGTAAATGAGACAGTTTATTTTTTACTCGTTTAAACTGCTAACGGGATTGATATTTCGATAAAAATAAAATAAAACAACCATTAATATTTATCGAATGTGATACTCAATGTAGTAGAATAATTTAAACTCATCTCCGAATTAACATAACTGATAAAATAATTACTGTTGATGAATATTAGGTCAAAAAGTCTCAATGAAGAGAAACTTCAAAGTATTAAAGATAAATTTGATACCTCATATTAAGATTTGATAAGTTTTAACGGCCCAGACACTAATTAATCAAATAAATATAAATAAAAATGTATCTTTTTTTCGAAGGATGGATCAATTTTTATGATTTTTTCAAGTCGTTCATTCATAATATGTATAATCGTGATTCTTTGTTCATTATAATTTTTTGGCTCAAAAAAATTTTTCAAAAATTTTAAATTATTCTGATAACATAATTTTCTTTTCTTTCAATTTTTTTTCCCACACTATAAAAATCGGGAGTGAATTAAGAATAAATTTTACCACGCATTCACTCCCCGCACTCGGAGTACCGGAGTGAAGTAATTGGATACTTCGGGTTTGGACGGAATCCAGAATTTTTTTCTGCGGAGTATTTTCGGAATGAATCTGGATTTTGATCCGGAAAACATCCGAGTACGGAGGTTTTGTACTAAAATCGATATCTATTTAACTAAAGCAAGTTTAATGTGCTAAATTATTTTTTTTTCGTCAGTATAAAATAAATAAACACGTATATTCAAAATTATTTTTTAATTTTATTCAAAAAAAGAAATAAAAAATTTACTCCACCGAGTGAAGTATATTAATGATATAATTTAAATCTGTTTTGGAGTGAATTTTACCCCTGCAGAGAGTTTAATTTAAATCCAATTAATTGAAAATCATCCACTCTGCATTCACTCCGAAAATTTTTTTTTAAAATTATGTAATATTATATGTTAATAATAATAAATTTAATTCAGGCAGAGAAAAAAAATGCATCACCGTCAGAGTATGGGCTTGTATTTGGAATTTTTGAGCTCATTGTTTTCCTTATCAGCCCTGTATATGGACAACACGTTAGTAGATTCTGTTATCTACTTCACATAAAATAAAAAAATTTTTCAAAATTTAATCCGTTTCTTACAAATAGTTGAATAGGATCGGACCCAAGTTACTTTTCAACGGTGGAATTTTAACAACAGGCACTTGTGCTATATTCTTTGGACTTTTGGACAAGGTTAACGGACACTATCCTTTTATAATTCTTTCCTTTATTATAAGAATATTGGAAGCGTTTGGGAATGCTGCTTTTCTCACGGCCAGTTTTGCTATAATTGCCAAGGAATTTCCTGAAAACGTCGCTACAACATTCGCGAGCCTCGAAACATTTTTTGGACTTGGGCTTATTGTCGGTCCAACTGTCGGCGGTGCTTTGTATCAAGTATTTTAACTTATTGTTACTATCATCGATAATTAGTACCACAAAAATTGAAAATTTTTAGTAGCAATGTTTTTTTGTAATTCTCAGATCGGTGGATACACATTGCCATTTGCTATTTTGGGTTCTGCTCTTATTGTTACAGCAATTATAACAGCTTTCATCCTTCCGAGCCACAATGATTCAGATCAAGATTCTCCGAAATTCGGTGGTAAGTTTTAATTTCAAACGCTTCAGTTTCTAAGTTCAAGCAAACAGAAAAAGGTCTACATAAATATTTTTACAAATTGAAAAAATTTTTTAGGATACACAAAAGTATTAAGAATTCCGGGTGTATTGGTATCAACGGCTTCAATAATGGCCACAAGTATGAGCATCGGTTTCCTCCAGGCAACTTTAGAACCTCATTTACGACAGTTTGATTTAAGTCCAGTTGTTTTGGGGTTGATGTTTGTGCTTAATGGAGGCACTTATGCTCTTACGGCACCCGCTTGGGGATGGTTGTGCGACCGGCGAATGCAACCCAAAGTAATTAAAGAGTATTTACACTGTTTACCTATTTAATATCATATCATCATTATGGTGTGTCAATTTTAGGCGACTTTTTCTTTCAACGAAAAAACAGTCTGAAAACTTGCATGAAGGTGAGAACAGAAGCCTGTTCAAAGCGGAGCTTCAAATATTAATATTTAGAGGTGTCTGTCCCTAATTTTTCATTTCCCATTTAAATAACATAGGAAAAAAAAATTCTTTTTTTTGTATATTTTTCTAGCTCGGCATACGCACCTCATATAAATAAAAGTCCATAGCATATTCTTGTAGAGAATTCAACGCTAAAATAATTTTCGGTGTCTAAAAAACCACGTCGATCGTTGCCAACACTGAAAAAAAAGTTTTCTGCTCCGCACGATACGAGATCGCTACTATCACGATCTACACTTTACCATCTAGAGGAGAGTGAGGTTAGGAAAACGGTATACTACGGTAGCTATACGTTTCGTGAATGGCACCGAATAGATCGTGACGGTTACGATTCAGACTGCTACTCGTAGCTGTACGAATTGTACCCGTAACGATACACCTTTTACCATACAGTAGATGGCGCCAAGTAGAAAACTTTTTTTTCAGTGAAGAACGTGAAAATGGGTTGATTGGTTGATTGATCGGTTTGAAAGTTCAAAAAGTAGTGTTCTTTGAAACTTTTATCAGACTTTTGACTTGAAGAGCTCAAAAACCTCATAAGTGCAATTTTAAGCGCTTAGATATGGAATTAGCGGAAGTTGCAGGGATGGCTTTTAGGGCCAACCGTTTTCCAGATTTTTTTGTGATAAATGAGTGTTATGAGACGCGCACTTTTCTGATTTTCCAAACATCTTTTCTCTTCGTGTAGAGTAATAAATTGATAATTCCGTGAAACTTTTTAAAAATTTAATTCATTCAACTCGGGTCATGATTTTCTTACAGTAAATGAAATAAAGAAGAAAAAAATTTGATACATGAGTAATTTTTTTTTAGCTTCATGAAAACGTTAGCGCATCAGAACCAATTTTACATATAAATATAATTTTTAAGACAGTAATAAATTAATTTGTATCAGTTTAATACTTGAATAATCAAAATTTGATACATTCAGAAGTTTACGTCTGAATAACTTTAGAACGGCTGGCTTTATGATAAAAGTGTAAGAGACCTTTTTTGAAGAGCGTTGAATTCTCTACAAGAATATGCTGTGGGCTTATTTATATGAGGTGCGTATACCGAGCTAGAAAAATATACAAAAAAAATAATTTTTTTTCCTATTTTATTTAAATGGGAAATGAAAAATTAGGGACAGACACCTCTAAATATAAATATTAAGAGCTCCGCTTTGAACAGGCTTCTGTTCTCACCTTCATGCAAGTTTTCAGACTGTTTTTTCGTTGAAAGAAAAAGTCGCCTAAAATTGACACACCCTAATCATCATCCTATTCCTATCTTATTTTTCACAAAAACAGGTGACATGAAGCCAAATTTTGAATTCTTATTCTTTATAGCTAGTCACTATTATAGGCTGCATCCTAATAATGATTGGATTTTCTTTAATTGGACCAGCACCTTTTATTCCATATCCTACAATCATTTGGTTAACAATCTGCGGTCTGGTTACCCACGGGATCGGTTTATCTGCTCAGTTGGTCGCAGCTTTCTCTGACGCTCTACAAACAACCATGTAAGTTACTTTACCAGTCGTCAATGCGTACCAAGATTTACTTTACTTTCAGACAGTCAAAGTTTTGTAGTTAAGCCAAAAACAACTTTAAAACATTTTTTAATAAAAATTTTTCTTTTTTTTAGAGCACATGGATTCCCAAATAATTTTGAGACTTATGGATTAATCAGTGCACTCTGGACAAGTTCTTTTGCTCTTGGTGCTTTTATTGGTCCCAGCCTTGGAGGAATCCTTCTGGACAATATAAATTTCCGTAACGCCTCCATGTTTATCGTTATCCTTAATTTATTAGTGGCAAGTACACTCATTGAATATAAATGTTAAATTAATGCTCATTCAAAATTACCTGGACGTAAATAACAAACCATATTTCGACAGGGAATAGCTGCATCAGTATTCGTCATCTGTTGTTCACGAAATCCGAAACCATTTACGGAAGTAAGCTGCGAAAGCGAGTCACGGGTGTCTTTAACAGATAGTGCTAGATCCCACAGTACAAGCTTGTTTACAAGAGAAGTCGATAATCAAAATATGCCCGTCGATAGGCCCAGCGGAATGAATTCTCTAATGGCGTGTAACAGCTATTCTAATCGCGCTGGTGCTTGGTCAAGGGCGTCCTACAGCGGTCGTTACAGTTACAACTACGGGTCATTGGATGCTAAACAATATTTACTAGAAAGGACAACTTAATGAAAAAATAAAAAACTAAACTAAACTATAATATAATCTAACTGTACATATTTGCATTTTTAATTAGCTATCATTTTTATGTTAATGTTAAAGATGTAGTAAATTAATATTTCAAACAAAACAATGCTTGTAACTCGAGCTGAGTGATTTTCACTGAGATTGTTCGCTGCCAATTGCCAAGTCTTAACTTAAATCCACATGAAATTCCAATGCGTTCGCCGCGCCTTCACACAATAATATAATATAAATGCATGTGCTTGTAACTTCACAGCGCACCCAAATCTTTGTACCATTGTAAAAACAATCTGTTCTATTTATGTCAATAACTGTTTGGAAATAATTATTGGAAATTGCTGCTTCAATGAATTTTTGTCATAATTGTAAATCATAGATTTAATGAAGACAATAAATAAAAGAAAAATACAGTCATTAAGTATGTTCAATATGTCCATACATTTTGATAAATGATAAGTCAGCGCACAGAAGAAAAGAATCGATTCTTAGAGTGTGCTAAAGAATTGCGTTAGATATAAAGTATATATTGAAGTGTACATACTTTGTACATACATATACTTGCTAACGCAATAACGAACATTCCCTATTCTCTAAACCGGCGTGTTCGCTCATGTGCATCGACCCGCCCGGAAGCTGGTTGCTATTCTGCGTAATACATAACACACCGGTGTCTATGTACATTTAATTCAGATGATTCAATAATAAAATATCCACCATTTACGGAGTTATTTTTATAAGATTCATATAACTCAGTACACGTGTAATTTGGGGTCAACACTTTTTCTCATTTAAAAATTTTCTTCTATTTGGAATTGGAATGCGCTTTTTTTGTTTATCTGTACGTTTATGTAATTCATGCTCGAGATAGTTACATATTTAAATATGAATAAATGTGAATGTACGCTGCTAAAGAAAGGTTGTTCTTTTCAGTTGGTTATTCGGCTGTTTAATTACTTTAGCAAATGAATTGTAAGTGTAAGTGAAGGATATAAGACAAATTAGCGCCTCTGGGTGTATCCATGTGCATCGGCATAGTCGGATTTTATTTTGTTCCACGTAATAACACTGCTATGAGAATAGTTAGGCGTTTTTTTTTGCTATGCATCGTTCTTTTCATCTGAAAAGTCATTGTCCTTAGTGTCATTGAATGCTGAGTTTAATCAAATAGCTGGTTTTATTTTTTTCATTTGTAATTTGTAGATATTGTTTTGATAATAAGTAAATAGTTTTTGTTTTGCATAAATCTTATTATACTTGGCCCATCAAGTAGCTTGGCATTCATTTTTCGTGGCCCTGATTGCAATAAACCAGTATAACTTTAGCCCTATTAGAGTATGTTATTTTGATTCACTTTTTAGAGCTTGTTTACATTTATCTTCTTTATCTATTCAAATATTCAATCTTTTAATGATTACATGTCAACGTTCTAATTACCAAATTGCTTAACTCCATTTTAGAGAATCTTCTATTTATACGAAAAAAACAATTAGTTCAAAATTCATTATTACTTTAAAAAACCATTTAATATCATCAATATCTAATAGAGATATAATATTTAGGTTTAAATCATTCAAATAATTTATAATTGGATTATTGCTACATCAAAATGTTAAAAAAACACCCTCTAAAAAATAAGGAGCTAGACAAATTGCTAATTAGACCTTCGATGTATAATCCAAACTAATGCAAAGTGTCATAATTTATATTTAAAAATTAATGAACATACTAATAGAGCTGACTGGATTGCGAAAAATAGTTCAGAAATTGTTCATTTTGGCAAAGTTTTAAATTCAAAAAATTTCAATTTCTAAGCAATCAAAAACTAACAGAAAAATTTTTAATTCCATTACTATTTTTTTCGATGATTTTCAGAAAAATTTTTAATGAAAATTCATAAAACTTTTGTCATAGAATAATTTTGAAAAATTGTAATACAATTTGAAAAAGAACTATTTTTTCTCGAAAGTTAAAACTTAAAAGTAGATAAAGTAAAAAATTTCTTAGAAGACGTATAATTATATAAATTAGTTTGACTTAAATAATTTAAAATTTTAAGATCAAGCTTGTTAAGAAAACTTTCAGAATAAGTAATCGGTTTAATAACCAGTAAAAGTGTTATCTTTAATTGAAACATAGCGATAATTATAGGAAGAAAGTTGAAATATGTATTTAAAAAGCAGGTGTGATATTGAAATTTTATATTAACGAAAGTTTATCAAAGTAGGTTTATATAATTAAAAGAGTGGACATAAATTACTCGTGAATTGACTTATTGCTTTAGCATTGGGAGTAAAACAATAATGCACTTCTAATAGGAGTTAAATGTCATCGATGAAAGTTGTTTCATGACAACTTGTACAAGTAAAGTGTAAAAATGAAAAAAAATAAATCGTTGATCATAAGGAAGTAAGTAAGTAGCACACCTGCTCTAAAGTTGAGGTCGCATACAAGTACAGAAAAGGGTCCCATGCTCGAATGACAGGAAGGAAGCCAAGAACAGGTTGCATTAGTTTACTATATACGCCGACATGTTTATCATTTAGTGAATCTTATACATATTTTTCATCCACAATATAACACTTATGTAGCTTACTAAGTATAAGCAACACTTTGTTACTTGCATAGTAACACCGGAATGGCAATAAGTAAGATTATTTTGGGGGGTAAGGTGCTGCCACCTGCAACCTGTTGCTCGGATCATTCAGAACAGAACAATACAATGTATATAATAATAAAGGTTAAAGAATTAAAGTGAACAGGTCCAAGGGTTTCTTCCTTCTATTCAGTGACTCCAGGATAGAAGCCCTCCCACCATCTGGGCCAGCCGGTTTACCTGTCAGGCCCATCAGAGAGATGGTTCGCGCAAGCGCACTCAAACTTTTCTCTTTAGCTGGCTTATAATCTTCCTTTTACAACTTTACTCTTGCCGAAGGGAAAGACTCGCAAATATTGCTCGTTTGAGCTTTGCAAACGCCCGGAGTTAACAGACCCAACGACCGACGTGTATATGTATGTGCTGTGTACTTTTTTTTTATTGTTTCACTTTTATTATTTTTATGTACGTGGGTTATTTTTTTTTCCACCGCCATTGCCATCGCGTTTGAAAGTTTTTTTTATTCCGTACCGTTCGAATATCTTTCCCGCGTCTGCATCCCTTCTCTTTGCCTACCAACATTTTTTTCCCCAACGCAACCGTCGACCCCGATCGGTCAGTACTCGTGGAGACGTCGCGATACAGAGTATATGTGATTAAGTTTAGGGCAATATAATTGATACAATTTAAAAATTAAAAAAAAAAAGTTTTTTTTTCATTGGTTTTTTGAACAATTGTGAGGTTTATTACGGATTTTTTTTCTTGTAATCAATGTAATGAGGATCTAGTCTGAAGGTATGTCAATTTATATAAAAAGTAGTAGTAAAATTTGATTTACTTTTTAATTATAGAGTTTAAATTAAAACTCTTTACGCAGCAAAAAAGAGTTACTATTTTAATGTCTTTAAAGGGTTAATAAATTAATATGTAAAGGCAATTGGTAATGGATATGTTTGTACATCTTTACGACCAGTGACTTGAACGCTGGATAAGAAGACGCGCGATCGTAAACACAGAGAGTAATTTTTGTTTTCTGGATTTAACTAAATGAAAAATATTATTAAATTAAAGATCACTTAGCATATTAAGTCCGTGATCAACGGCGTGACAAGTTGAATAATTCTGAATTGTAATTCCACGCGTGTGGGTTACTTGTATGAGGTAAGGGCAGAGGAGGAGATAGAAAATAAAAGGAACAAGACGGACATGATACGTGAACGTGAGTGTATATATGTATAATATAACTAAAGAAGAAGCGACCAAGAAGAAAAAAAAAGAAATAAAAAATAAGAATCGCGTGACTGGAATATAACCATTCAGAAGTATTTTTTAAGAATCCTAGTAGATTCCTTGGTTAAAAGTCTCATCTTTAAGGTATTTAGATATTGTGAGGAGTAAGTAGAGGAAGATGTTTTTTTTCTGGGCCTCATATATACCTATAATCCTTGAAACCTTCTCACGGTTTTGGTTTCGATTTTTAAATATACCTCGGAATCTACCTGCGATATGTGTGCCTTATACCTGTACATAGTAATAGATACCATAAAAAACTGAAAATTTACAGGTGGTTAAGATGCTTTATTTTATGGAAGAAATCGTTTTAGTTGAAAGGTAATTAGTTAAAAAGAATTTTAATTTATCTGTTAACATATTTTAGCATAATGTGATAGCTCATTTTTGCTCTTAAAATTACAAGAAAAAATAAAGGCATCGAGTTTAAACTAGTCAATGCACTTTGTATAAGGATATATTTTCGTCCGCATAAAACAATGGAGAATGATGTCATGAACTCACACCTATATGTACTAACTGAGCACTTTAGTATGTACATTTAATTATTCCTACACTCTATGTTCTGTATACTATAATAAGTTGTACGAGTTTGCAGGTCATTTAAATCAGTGGTGACATAAAGTCAATTACAAATTCTATTTTAAATTGAAATCATTAATTTCACTTAGATATTTTTAAATTGCTACACTCTCTTGTATTCATGTTACTTTAATTATTCAGTATAATTTCATTTATGGTGTTTATAATTTATGGTTACATTTACTTGGAATAGATATTGATTTTTTGAAATTTATTTTTGAAAATAGTCAAGAGTATTTTTAATTTTTAATTGAAGAAATTGAAGTTTTTTTTTTTTTTTTTTTTTTTTTTTTTTTTTAATAAATCTAATACTTTTAACGTTTAAATTATGTGATTCCCACGTATGTCTCTGTAAACCATACAGTTTCCATGATTAAATTTAAAGGTGGACCAATATTTGTGAGAGAGATCGGTCGATACTTTCACCATTTAAAATTCGGTCATGTCTCTTCTTTATTTTAACTGCGGAATTTCAAGTTTCTTTTAATTATTGCAGTTCTTTTAAGATTGGTTTCCTTTT